CGACGCCTCCCCCCCGTACCGACCTTGAGCAACGTCGTAATTGAGTCGAAGGGAACCCCCTTCCCTTTGATCCCTCCCCCGCCGGGAGGGGGTGGGGGGTAGCGGGGGGGGGTAGCGACCCCCCCCGGGTCAGATACGACGCCTCCCCCCCGTGCCGACCTTGAGCAACGTCGTAATTGAGTCGAAGGGAAGCCCCTTCCCTTTCCCTTCCCCGACGGGGGGGGGAGGGGGGGTCCCGGGGGGGGTCCCAGGGGAGTCCCGGGGAAGTCCCGGGTCAGATACGACACCTCCCTCCCCCACCTTCTCGTCCTTCTCCCCGTTCCCCAAAACCATCCCACAGCCCGTGCCTCTTGCTGCGCATTGCGAACAGGGTCGGCGGCACCGGCCGTAAGGCCTTCGCAATAAGTGAGGAATGAGTGATGATGATGATGGTGGGTTCCTGTTCCTGCGCGGGGTGTCCAGAGAAAACAAGAACCCCACTTTGGATGTGGGGAATAATAGTAGTCGTAGTAGTAGTAGTAGTAGTAGTAGTAGTAGTAGTAGTAGTAGTAGTAGTAGTAGTAGTAGTAGTAGTAGTAGTAGTAGTAGTAGTAGTAATAGTAGTAGTAGTAGTAGTAGTAGTAGTAGTAGTAGTAGTAGTGGTAGTAGTAGCAGTAGTAGTAGTAGTACTAGTAGTCGTCGTGGGAGGTAGTAGTAGTCGTCGTAGTCGTCGTCGTCGTCGTAGTCGTAGTCGTTGTATTCATCATCGTAGTCGTAGTAGTCAATAGTAGTAGTCGTAGAAGTAGTAGTAATAGTAGTCGTAGTACTAGTAGCAATAGTAGTCGTAGTACTAGTAGTACTAGTAGTATTAGTAGCAGTAGTAGTAGTAGTAGTAGTAGTCGTAGTAGTAGTGGTGGTGGTGGTTGTAGTAGTAGTAGTAGTAGTAGTAGTAGTAGTAGTAGTAGTAGTAGTAGTAGTAGTAATAGTAGTAGTAGTCGTAGTAGTAGCAGGAGCAGTCGCAGTAGCAGTAGTAGTAGTAGTAGTAGTAGTCGTAGCAGTAGAAGAGGAAGAAGAAGTAGAAGTAGAAGTAGAAGTAGAAGTAGAAGTAGAAGTAGAAGTAGAAGTAGAAGTAGTAGTAGTAGTAGTAGTATCAGTAGTAGTACTTGTAGTAGTAGTAGTAGTAGTAGTAGTAGTAGTAGTAGTAGTCGTGATTATAGTAGTAGTAGTAGTAGTAGTAGTAGTAGTAGTAGTAGTAGTAGTAGTAGTCGGAGAGTAGTTAATGCTTAGTAGTAATAGTAGTAGTAGTAGTATAGTAATGGCGTCGTAGTAGTGTTGTCGAACGTAGTAGTAGTCGCCGTCGCGTAGTAGTAGTGGCAAGACGTCATTCGTAGTCGGAGTAGCTAGTAGTAGTAGTAGTGTAGTGTAGTAGTAGTAGTAGGAGTATTAGTAATCGGAGCAGACAGTAAACAATAGTAATAGCAGTAATAGTTTAGTCGTAATAGATATAGAGTGGTAGTATAGTAGTAGTAGTAGTAATAGTAATAGTAGTAGTAGTTAGTAGTAGTAGTAGTAGTAGTAGTAGTAGTTAGTAATAGTAGAGTACGTAGTAGTCGTAGTAGTAGTAGTAGTAGCGTGGTAGTAGGTAGTACGGTAGTAGTAGTAGTAGGAGTAGTAGTAGGTGATAGTACAGTCGTAGTCGTAGTCGTCGGTTCGTAGTAGTTAATCATGTAGGAGTAGTAGGTAGTAGTAGTAGTAGGTCGTTCGTGGTAGTACTTAGTAGTAGTAGTAGGAGCAGTAGTAGTAGTAGTAGTAGTAGTAGTAGTAGTAGTAGTAGTAGTAGTAGTAGTAGTATTAGTAGTAGTAGTAGTAGTAGTCGTAGTAGTAGTAGTAGTAGTAGTAGTAGAAGTAGTAGTAGTAGCAGTAGCAGTAGCAGTAGCAGTAGCTAGTAGTAGTAGTAGTAGTAGTAGTAGTAGTAGTAGTAGTAGTAGTAGTAGTAGCATTTGTGTTGGAATTGTTCTCGTATTCGTGGCACTGTAATAGCTTGCTCTACTGCGGTGCGACCTGTACTAAGTAGTAGTATTTGCATTCCAATACAAGCTGCACTCGAATACAAGCTGCACCCTGGTACTAGTCGCACTCGAACACAAGTTGTACTCTAGTGCGATTTGCACTATAGCTTGAATGGGCGCGCGCGGAAGAAGGAAAGAACTCCTTGCGCCGCCAAGGGTCCAAAGTTTGAAGGGCCGCCTCGAGGAGGGACCCCCCGAAGAAGGAAGAAAGTAATCCAGCCATGGGGTTGGGGGGTCCAGGCATGAGTCGCGGAGGTGATCTGGCGGCGTTCAGCCTTGAACGCCCAGGCTGGGGTCGCCGCGGCGTCTAACCGGCGCGAACCCACCGTATGTTGATGCCGCGTCTGGTTCTCGAAACATCTTGCTCCCCGCTTCCCCCACATCCCATGGTTCTACACGCCCCCTCGTATGCCGACCATTCCCACTTCCTGGCCAAATGCAAACTTCCTCTGGGAAAGCGCCAGGTGCCAAAAAAGACGAAGGCACGAGAAAGCAACATCGGGTTAGGATACATCATAAATCGCAGAGATCCGGCAAGTGTGGGAAATGTATCGGGCGCCCATGCCGTTCCAGAGAGTTCTAAAGCGCTCTGGAGCGAGAATCCTCGCGTACCATATGGCTACCTGATCAAAAAAAAGTCGACGATTGGAGACTCCCCCTTAGAACCTGGAGAGCTCTCTAGAGGAACGCTCTCAGGAAACGCTGTCCCGCTGCCTGAAAACGAGCGCGCGCACGCGTACGTGATGCACTGGCTTGGCTGCAGTACTGTACGTATTCCTTTCACCCCCATCCTCACTGCTCTTACTTAGGGGAACAAGCAATGCCATAAACATTCAAAAAACTCTCAGGTCCGCGCGGACTCCTCGGATCGGCGCTGGACCCCCTCCCTGGCGCGCTCCGCGCGCCAGGAGCTGCGCCGGAGGCGCCGCCAGGGGCCCCAGCGCCGATCCGAGGAATCCGCGCGGACCTGCGCGACTTCATGTTTATGCCAGTGTTTGTTCCCCGGTTCCGTCCCCCCTCCTCCGCGAAAGGATGCGTGGTAAGGATGCAAGGGCCTTGCAAGGCCATGCCAACTTTTTTCGAGCAGGGAGCGGCCAGCGAAAGTAGCCAAGGATAGGCCGAAGGGGGAGCATGCAAGGGTAACCTTGGAAAATCGTTCATCCCTACTATCTGCGTTGACTCTACTCCTTCCCCCACCTCCTCACTGCTCTCACTCTTGCACCTCCCCCGAGGCAGGGCCTGCTGTCTAACAGAAGCTTCACCACTGCGATGCGGTTCGCACCGATGGCGTAGCCCAGAGCGGTGACGCCCTGCGTCCGAGAGACGTGTGGCACACGAGAGAGCAAAGCCGGGCCGGAAGGGGGGCGGGGATGGGTGTCGCAGCGACCTAGGGTAGCTCCAGGGCCACCAGCGGCAGATCCCTCTTCCTCCTTCTCCTCCTCTTCCTCCTCCTCCTCCTTCTCCTCCTCCTGACCTTCCCTTCCCCCTTCCCCCCCTCCCCTCAGCTGCACGGTCTCGATTCTCCAGAGACGCTGGTGCCTTGGGAGAGGCACCCGCGCCTCCGCGATGGAGCTGGAACGACTTGGGATGAGGAGGATAGCATAGGCTGGCCTGCTTCTTTAGCCTGCGAGCTAGGAACTCTCGAACAACTTGTACCATCAGTACCCTTAGTACCCTCAGCGCCTTCCCCTCCACACCTCCCACGCCACATTCCCCTCCCCCATCGTCGTCCTCCTCCTCCTCCTCCTCCTCCTCTTTGTTGTTCCTCTTCCTCCTCTTCCTCCTCCTCCTCCTCCTCCTCCTCCTCTACAAGGCCACTTAGGCTCCAGCCACCTTCTCTCCTCGGGCGCCCAGTGGAGCCCGCTGGGCTGGGGCGTATTGGGGCATGCGCGTGCTGGTCTCTGGGGGTTGATGAGGGGAAACGTTCGGACGGGACTGGCCCATGAGGGGAGGGGGGCACATCGACCTAGAATCGGCGATACATCGCCGACAGATCGGGGATGGGTCCCCGATAGCTATCGGGCCCCTGTCGGCGAATAGTGGGCGATAGGGCGTCGATGCATCTCCCCCCTGAGCCTTAACCCCCCCTATCGTTGCCCCTGGCTGGACGAGTGCCTGCCTTTCGGGCTTGAACGGGTGAGGTCTGGCCTTGTGATTGGGGCCACGACTGCGAAGACAATGGTGGTGTCGAAGACAATCACAAAAACAATCACGTGGCGTCGAAGGGCGGCGGCGACGGGCTCGCTGTCCAGGTCGGGGCCCCCTTCCTGTCGCGCGCGAGCCTGGAGTCGCCGAAACCGACCGTCCTCAATTTGCCTTCGACCGCCTGCTGGCAAAAGAAAAGGCTCCAGTTCCACCCCATCGGGAAGACTCTCAAACGCGGTGAACATTTGCGGGAAATTATATCATCGAGAACGCCAGCGGGGAGAACATTAGCACAGGCGTCTCGGTCGGTACTTGGAAGAACCATTAGCCCACTGAGCCCAGCAGGCGCAAGGAACCGAGAGAACGCGGCATCGATGCCACACCGACCGAGGTGCAAGCTGCTCCCGGCGTTGATTCGGGGGCTCTGCCAGCTTCCTGCCGTCGGCAACTCAGCGACGCCAGGGTTGTGAAACATGCGGTTCACCCTGCGCGTGTCTAGAGCCATCCGCTGCTCGCCGCTCCCGTCGCGCTGGGCAACGAAGAACGGCGCGAGTGTGTGATTCCGCTCCGAGGTGACGTGGATCATACCTGCCTCGAAAAAGTCCTGCAAACTGGCGCGCAGGCTCGTCGAGCCCTTGGGCCTGGCGTCGAAGCGAGGGGGTACATCGGCAAGCCACTCATGCCGAGGGCGCGAGAGATGCTTCTCCCAATTCTGCCGCAAGTCGCGCACGGACTCCGAGAACAAGTAGGCAGGCTCGCACTCCCTCGAATCCTGAGGCACCGCAACGCTGCCCTCGGTGAACAAAACCGCTTTCGCTGGGGACATATCGTACCCAGGAGCACAACCGCGCAGCTCCCTGCAGGCCGCCGCGGGGCTGATGTCGGGTGCGCCGAACGACGCGAGGTGGTTGCGCAGCGCGTCGACGCCAGCGAACTGCGCCGCCGAAAGCTTCCCGAAGCCGTCACCGCCCGTCCGCCCGCTCAGGAAGCTGAGCGCTGAGACGACCTCGCTGGTCTACAACTCGACAGCGAGCTGCTGGCGGTCCCGACCCCGCCACTTACGGGAATAGGAAAACATGCAGAGTGATCGCGCCCCTGGAAGTGCGCGGTGACAAGGTCCAGGGGGATCGGCAACACCGCATCCCGCTGGACCACCATACTGGACACAAATCTGGCGGGGCTCGCCCCCGTCTGCGCCAGCCGCGCCTCCACGGCCGCGACCCTTCGGGTCTGCCTTCGAGGCTGCGCCCAACTGCTTCTTCAGCCTGTCGATCTTCGCCTTCTGCCTGTCCACCGTGCTCTGCGTGGCCGAGAGACGCGACTGGCGGTCGCCGCCGCCGCTCGAGCTCGGGTCACCGCGGGGGCGAGGCGCTCCTCCTTCAGCTTCCGCCGCTCCTTCAGCACCTGGCTCTCCTCGTGAAGCTCGTCGGCCACGACCGCGAGGAGCGCGGGCGCGATGCGCGCCGAGCCCCGCGCCTCGCCCGCGCCAGGGTACAAGCGTGAGTCCTCGAGCAACTCATCCCCTCGAGCCGCGGTCAGCATCCTATCGCGATGTAGATATTCAGCCACCTGAAGACGACGGCGCACCAGCTCCGCGCATGCCAGCTCGCTCGCATTGAGCTGGTCGAACGTCAGCAGGACATGCATAATGCGGCAGCAGGAGACGTCCTGGTCCGAACTCGACAAGCCCGTCTCAGCCTTGAACTTCGCATGCCGCGAGCGAAACGTCACGTTAGTCTCCCTCGCAAACTCGCAGACCCACTTCGCCGTCCGCGGGCCGCTGACATGGAAGAACTCCCAGTAATCATCGGCGAGCTCCACCACGGCGTCACGCATGCCCAAGAACCGCCAGTGAGAGGAGCTCCGCAGCGCCAGGAAGCGCGCGTCGAGCTCGCCCACCATCACGCGGAAGAGCGCGCAGCAGCAAGGTGTGCCCTCCAGCCTTCGCGATCCCAAAGCCCGCAGTGATCGCGAACGCGTCGGAGTCCGCGTCGGTGATGGTGCCCTTGCCAACCCTGTCGCTGGAGGCCAGGCAGCGCCACTCTGACGGAGCGGGGTCGGGAAGCCGACCGCGCCCCACCGCCCACTCACTCGGAATTGTCATCAAGTCCGAGCCCGAACCGATGCGCGGAGGACGAGGCGCCGGGGCTGGGGCTTCATCCTCGGGCTCCCCCGTCGGCAGGTCGCTTGACAGGCCGCGCGCGATCGTCTCGTCGAGCGAACGCCCCATAGCGAACCGCATCGGCAGGCAGAACTCCGCGGGGCTCATGTTCCAGTCGCGGCCGTAGACTTCGAGCCCCGCTGGATTGGCGCCCTCGCGGTTCGGCAACTGGCGAAGATCGGTCATGTCGAACGGGGCGACGATGCGCAGCGCCTGGTCCGTCAACTCGTCAGGGTACACGTCGCCGTCGGGCGTCACCGTGTACCACGGGCGACAGTCCTCGTCCGCCTTCTCGCTCGGATCCAGACCAGTCACCTCTGTGTATTGCGCGGGCGTGCAAGGAGTCAGCGCGACGCGCGCTTGCAGACTCTCGCCCGTGCGCCACTGGATCTCGAAGCGCTGGCCTGCTCGAGCGTGGCAGGACATACCTGCCGAGGAGGAAGCCGAGGAGCGCGCCGCCGACCGCGAGGACCACGGCGCCCCACCGCAGCGAACCCAGCAGCCGCAGCGCCACTGCGCGCTGCCGAAGGTCCCCTCCAGCGCCGACCAGCCTCGCTCGGAGATCAGCCGGTGTCCAGCGCGGGCGGCAGCGGCGGCGATCAGCGGCCACAGCATGAAGCGGCCGCCTGATTGGTTTGTGCTTGAAGTTTGCGGACCAAGAAGGGCCATGGAACGGATCAGACCACGGCGAAACAAACATCTGAATCTGAGGAGGAGGAGGAGGAGGAATAGGAGGAGGAGGAGGAGGAGGAGGAGGAGGAAGAAGAAGAAGAATAAGAAGAATAATAATAAGAATAATAAGAAGAAAAATAAGAAGAAGAAGAAGACGAATAAGAAGACGAATAATAAGAAGAAGAATCAGAAAAATAATAAGAATAATAATAAGAATAAGAAACAGAAGAAGAAGAATAAGAAGAATAATAAGAAGAAGAAGAATAATAATAAGAAGAAGAAGAAGAATAAGAATAATAATAATAATACGAATAATAATAAGAATAAGAAGAATAAGAATAATAAGAATAATAAGAAGAAGAATAATAAGAAAAATAAGAAGAATACGAATACTAGTAATAAGAAGACGAAGAAGAACAATAAGAAGAATAATAAGAAGAATAAGAAGAAGAAGAAAAATAAAAAGAAGAATAAGAAGAAGAAGAATAAACAAAATAAGAAGAAGAAGAAGAAGAAGAAGACGATGAGGAGGAGGGCCCGCGCCTTGTGGTCCTGAGCGTCCAGGGGCTGCCTTCTCTCCAGGAACTCCTCGGGCGCGCGCGCGCGGCAAGGGCGCGCCCCTCGGGCCGGGGGGAGAAGGTCCAAACCCCCTCGAGCCGAGAAGTTATCACGACGGAAAGTTTTCGACGATCTTTAGCCGCCGCCGCCGTCGTGGTCGTGGTCGTGGTCGTGGTCGTGGTCGTCGTCGTCGTCGTCGTCATCGTCGTCGTCGTCGTCGCCACCACCGCCGCCGCTGCCGTCGTCGTCGTCGTCGTCGTCGTCGTCGTCGTCGTCGTCGTCGTCGTCGTCGTCGTCGTCGTCTTCGTCGTCGTCGTCGTCGTGGTCGTCGGCGCCGTCGGCGGCGCCGTCGTCGGCGCCGTCGTCGGCGTCGTCGTCATCACCGCCGTCGTCGTCGTCGTCGTCGTCGTCATCCTCCTTCAGGATCGGCGGCGCTGGCTGTAAGGGATTGGCGTTGGAAAGACAGCGTGCAACATCGATCTCTGGGGAGCACGCTAATCCCTGTGGTGCAACCCTTGCGGCTGAGGGGCCCTGCCTCGGCGCTGCCCCTCCCCAGCAACCGCTGCGCTCTGCCCCCCGCCAGTCGCCAATGCACGCGGCACTCTGGGCTGCGCCCTGGTGGTGGCTGGTATACCCGCAGGCCCAAAGCTCTGTAAGTGGCCTTGCCCCTGTCGGCACTTCGCGCTGCCCCACTTGTCTCTGCCGTTGCGGCTCGCCTCCCGTTTTTGCCTCCCCGCCCCGGGCCCGTGCCTGTGCTCGCAGGCGCATGGCACCGCCCTCCCCCAGGCGTGCGGAATGCCCTGCCCATCCCCGGGCATCCTTGGTAGCTGCCTCCCCCGGCGCCTTCCCCCAGGGCGGCACCGCTTAGCGGCTCGTCCCTCTCCCTTGTCTCCCCCTCGTGGGAAGCCCGCCCGTGCGCCACATGCACTGGGCCCTGCCAAGTCCCAGGCTGCGATGTCGTGCACAGTCTGGCTACCCAGTGGCGCTGCGCCACTGCTCCGCCTGCCGCTCTTCGCCTTGGGGCCGCCTTCGCAGCTACCGCAGCGCCTTGGCACCCCCCTCCTCCACTTGCTGGGCCCCGCCCATGCCCCGCCCGCACTGCGGCTGCTGGCCCCGCCCCTGGTTGCGTCGTTGATGCCGCCCCGCGATTGCTGCCAAGGGCTGCCCCTCAGCCTCGCCGCCCCCGCGCGCTTCCCGCGTCCTCGCTGCGTGAGTGCCCCCGTGCTCCAGCCCTTCTCTGCGGCCGCTCTCGCTCCTCCTTCCTCCCCTCTTGCATGCGGGCCAACTCGCGACTCCGTGTCCCGGTGTTGCCCCGACGCGCGAGCGGAGTACCTCTGCCGTGCCGCGACATAAAAAAGTGAGGCGATCCCTCCGCGATGGGCCCTTTCTGTGCGAGCGGTCCACCTCGTCGGGGCTTCTTCGGTGCGCGCTGTGCCCGAGGTGGGGAACAGCGTGCGGAGAGGTCAGCGGCGCCTCATTGCACGCTGTCTTTCCACCCCCAGCCGTAGGCAGGGGGAGAATGCCCAGACCCCTCGAGCCGCGAAAATAATCACGACGTAAAGCTTTGGACTGCTTTCGGCCTCTCGGGGCCCTCGCCGGGCCCCTGTGCCCGTCAAGAAACGGCTCGGGAAGAAGACAGGTCCTGGGGACGGGGTGCAGATCTCTGGGGGGCCCACGTTGCGAAAGAGATCGCCGTCGGGGGTCTGGGGAGGAGAGGGAACAGGGGAGGGGATTCCCTCCTGACTGATTCGCCCTTCCTCTCCACTCCTCCCTTCCCCCCCCAGCCCCTCCCCCTCCCCCCCTCCCGCTCCCGCCTCCCCTTCCCTCCTTCCCGGAGGAGAGGCTGGAGGGAGTGGGGGAGGGGAGAGGGGATGGGCCAATAAGAAAGGGATGGGGGCAGGGAGCGCAGGACGGAGAGGGAAGGGGAGGGGAAGGGGGGGGACGGGGGTAAGGAGGAAGAGGAGAAGAAGGCGGATAATGGCCATCATCAGGATGAACAGGACGAGGATGCGTTGGAGACGAGGAAGAAGAGTACGTAGCGGGGTAGAGAGGGCGGAAGAGGAAGATGCGGTGCAGAAAATGGAGGAGACGGCGGATGAAGAGGGGGGAGGAAGGGGGAGTACAAGCTAGGCACGCCCGCGCCATGTCTGACACCCTGCCACTCCCATCCATCCCTTCCCATTGTGCCGTCTCCCTTCCTGTTCGCTGACTTTGGTGTCGACTCGGACCTCGACCCCTAGATGGAGGACAGCACAACCCACCCCCACCCCCAGCCAGGACCCCCACTCTCGACCTGGTGATCCATGGGGTGCTGGCTGGGGGCGGGTGGGGGTGACTTTGTGGCCCCCAAGAGCTCCAAAAAGCCACCCCACCCCCAGCCAGGACCCCTGGATCACCAGGTCGGGGGTGGGGTTCCTGGCTGGGTGAAGATGGAGGTTGTGCTGTCCTCATAGATTTCATCTTCAATGCTCGACCCGTCATCCAGGGCACGCACAGAGGGCAAAGGGCCCGCGCATTGGATCAGGAAGCGCGCCCGAGGGCCGCCCGACGTCTCGGATGGAGGCACCGCCCGCACCATCGAAATGCGGCGGGTTCGTGCCGTGATGACTTTGTCATCGACTTTGGTCTCTGACACCGCGTGGACAGGAGAGCCAAGAATCGAGTCGATAAGTCGGATCGACGATCGCAATGAGTCGGATCGGCGGAAATCGGCAGCCAAGTCGGGGGAAATCGAATCGGCGGAAATCGGCACGCCAGTAGGCTATGAAGGCCTCCACTGAGAAATCGAAATCCAAATCGAAATCTGAAATCGAATCGAATCAGAATCGGAACCGAGTCGGAGGAGTCGAAATAAGCCCTGCATGGATCGTTCAACCTTGGAACGATCGGCAGCTTTTCGATCGGCAGACCGTTCCACAGTGGCCGACGATGGTCCTCCAGCGGCGTTTAACCTTGAACACCCGCGGCGGGGTCGTCGCGGCGTCGACACGGCGCGAACTTACCGTAACGACGTGCGCGAAACAAACAGATCGATGTCGAAGCCTTAAGGCTCCCGCGCAAGACCGGCCCACATACCTGCCACAACTTTTTGTTCATGCAAGCCAGCAGCGTCAACGTCACCAGCGGAGAAGGCGTCTGGAACGCGAATTCTTGGGACACCAAAATGTACCTATACTGCTACTTCCCAGATTTCTGCCGGGGTGCGTTCTGACCAGAATTTCCCAGCGAACCCAGCCGTGGCGACGAGGGTCTGCTCCAAAAGGGGAACATGAGGGAAAGGTAGTGGTTTGGGTACTTCTTCCTCCTCTGAGATTCTCCGCCCCTCTCTTGACCCAGCGGGAGAGCAGCTACCGTGTCGGCCCGCCTGTCGCTGAATACGCAAACCGGAAGTACAGTGGGCCCCACGGAAATTAGTCGTGCGGTACGCGCCGCAGTCGGCCAGAGCCAATCGCGCAGCATCTCCAAGAGACCGCGCTGAGAAGGCTCCAAGACGGCCCCAAGAGTCGCCTGCGGCGGTTCGCGCCGTGCCGACCCCAGCGTTGGCTCCTGAACTGCGGGGATCGTTAAACCTTGGACGATCAGCAGTTTCCAAAACGTCAAATCAGTCAACATCAACAGATTCTGGGTCGACAACGGTGTTCAAAATTGAACGCCGGCGGCGGGGTCGCCGCTGGTCGACACGACGCGAACATACTGTAGATGACCTAACTTCGCGCATAGCGCCCCGCGATGGGCGATTATCTTTGCGCCCTCGCGCCCTCACCACGCCCACTTGGAGAAACGCAACCTCTCTGGCCCAGGTCGCGACGTGCCAACCGTAATTACGGTAAGTTCGCGCGGCGTCCGCCCACGAAAACTGTTTTGGCACCGCGTCGATCGTCCAACCTTGAACCGATCGCGGCCCCAATCGTATCGTTCAAGGTTGAATTAAGTCTGGTCCTGTGCTGTTACCGTGCCCCTCGGTGCTTCCGCGTCGTTCTATCTTGCGGAGTTCAACCGGCATCGCCGGCGCGCCATCGCCGAATGAACCTACCGTAGCATCTGGGAGGCGGGGAGCTTTCCTCGAAGGCACGGCGAGTCGACACGACGCGAATCTGCCGCAGCCTGCCCTGAGAGGGTCGAGCGGAGCCTCTTCTGAAGGAAGCTCGGCAGGGCCGTCGCGCCGCTGGGCGGCCCCAACAACTAGGACAACTATATTCGCGCTTCGCGCTCCGCGAAGCGCGATTATCAATCGCCCAGACCGCGAAGCGCGACGAACTTCGCACCCTCATGGTGGCCCTAGCAACGGCGCCTTCGAGAGCCCCTCCAGTGATTATGCCCCAGTGGGCCCCGCAATAGCTCCAAGAGTAGAATACGAAGAAACGCAAAAACATAAATATTTGGATCTCCACGCGGATTTCTTGGATCTGCGCTGGGACCCCCTGGCGGCGTCTCCAGCACCGCCCCTGGCGCGCTCCGCGCGCCAGGGAGGGGGTCCAGCGCAGATCCAAGAAATTCTCGCGGAGCTCAAAGTTTATGTTTATGCCGTTTTTCTTCTTCGAAGGAAGGCTCCGAGAAACCTCGCAAACGCTACGCGACAGCCATGCACCGTTGCGTCTGCGCCACGCTAAACCAATGTAAAGCCCTTTCTCAGACCACCCCAAGATCTGTTCAGAGATCAAAGATAACCAACCCGCGTGGATTTCTATGATGTGCAGACACGGTGATGGGATTTGCCGCAGGCAGCTCGATGAGGAGGTTCATCATGTCCTCAAAGCGTTCTGAAGGGTCCCACAGGAAGAGGCGGAGAATGAAGAGGGGAATGAGCAGGAAGAGGGGAATAGTAGGGTGGTTGCACAAAGGTAGTAAAAAATCAATATCGCTCACCTCAGGGGCGGCGTCCTGAACTCTCTTGAGGTCGCCGTTCCTGGCCGCTTCGTGCAAATTCAGCGCCGTCTCGTCTAATTTCTGCAGCTTCGCCTGGCCGTCCGCAAACTCAGCCTCTCCCTCAATCCTCTCCCAGCCAGGGCCAGGAGAGCCGAGCATGGCTCGTGGGCACCGATCTGGGCTCGTGGGCACTGATCTGGGCTCGTAATCTCGGGAGTGCTTCAGAGGAGCCATGATTGAATGCCTTCCCTCGGTCACCGAACTTCGCGCATCGCGCCCCGCGGTGCACGACGGTGCGACTATCTTCGCGCCCTCGCGCCGCCTCCTTGGAGAAGGGTCGCCGCTCTGGTCCAGACTGCGACACGCGATTATCTCAGAGGAAGAAAAGTTGCATAAACATAAACTGTTCGATTTTCGCGCGGATGTCTTGGATCTGCGCTGAACACCTCTCTGGCGCACGAAGCGCGCCAGGGGCGGCGCGGGAGGCGCCGCCAAGGGGGGACTCCAGCGCCGATCCAAGAAATCTGCGCGGAGCCCCCAAAGTGTATGTTTACGCCGTAGCTTTGTTTTTTCGAGACGCGCAACGCGCGATTATCTTTGCGCCCCCGCGGGTGACCTATTTTTCACATGTCGGAGAGCACACGACCGCGTCTGTGCGCATGTGTCAGGGCCCTTGAGGCAGCAGGCCGCCGCTGCGACGGTCCAGAAACTGCTGCGGCCCCTCTTTGATCCGCCGTTTGCTGAAAAGAACACTGTGGACAAACACGCTCGGGAATTAAGCCACATCAGACAAAACATGCGGGCCATAAACTGAATCGAATTGCGAAATCGGACTAAGTCGGAAACGGATTGGATCGTCCCGAACCGGATCGAAATCGGATCGTCGCGCCTAGCTCTGGTAGCCCTGACCGATGCCGGTGAATCGAGCCGAATCGAATCACATCGAAAACGCGGGCCCAGCCCGCGAATCGAATCGCACCCTCGCCATCACTCGGACGACCATTAAGTGTGCATGTTTCGGTCTCGTGCGTTCTTTTGTTCGCTGGATGGTCCAAAGTGCTCCTCGATGGTCGCTCCCCCTCCTCCTCCGTTTCCTCCCCCTCTTCCCTCTATCCCTCCCGTGCTGTCCAATGCGCCCTATTCTGCTGCGCTGGCCGCAAGTTTGCTGCTTTCCCCGCCTGTGCACTACGTGGCCGTCCCCTCGCGAGCATACACGCTAAACTTGACTTGACTTTGGGGGAACCCAGCAATTTTCCTCCTCCGAGACTTGCTCCTCGATGGCCCCCGCCGAGAACCGATGCACACGTCCGAGCGATGCCAAGCTTTGCGGCGCGCACACGTGGGTAGGGGGAGGGGGGAAGGCGTCTTAGGAGGCCGCTTCTTAGAAGGCGCTGGCCCTACATCTGCAGAGAAGGTCCGAAACTTCAAAGAAGCAGGGGTGATTCTAAGAAGCCTCCCCCCCACTCGCCCTACCCCCTTCTGCGCATGGCCGATCCTCGATGGTCCCCGCCGACAACGGATGCTCACGTCCGGGCGGTGCCAAGCATCGAGTCCGATCGTGAGCGGGTCTGTCGTGTCATGCCCGCGAGGCCTGGCGGCATGCCCTGCAAATCATCAGGCACGCGCACGTCCTCCTCCCTCGTGCCCCCTCGCATCCTCCTCCTCCTCCTCATTCTCCTCCTCCTCCCTCCTCCTCCTCATCCTCCTCCTCCTCCTTCAGCCCTTTCTGGCCCGAGTCGGGTCTGCAGAGGTAGAACCATTGGGAAGGGCTATTTCTCCTGCGAACCAAATTTTGGCTTCTGGGCTTCCTGGGTGGCGTCCCCAAGATTCCTAGACTATTAACGGTTACTGCGGCCTGGCTGGCCTTACATCCGTCACGGCGCCGCCATGTCGCGCCGCCTCGCTGCTGACCTCTGGCGCTGCAAGAAGTGCGTCACGAGGGACGGCACGCCGTGGATCAACCGTGGCGACCTCAAGCAGTGCTCCACATGCAACCTACATAAAGGACTCTGCTACGGTGGTCCCAAAACGCCCGAAGGGAGCCCTGCGACCACGTCCACGGGCTCACCTAAGGCATCTAAGGCTAAACCCGACACCACCTCCATGGCTAAGCAGCTTGCCGACCTCCAGGCCATGGTCAAAAAGCTCACGGTCGCCCAGTCGCCTCCTCCTTGGGCTGCTGCTGCTGCTGGTGCTGCTGCTGGGAGGAGTGCTTTCTGCTGCTGGGGCAGGCGTCGGATTGGACAGTGGGTGGTACCCATGGGGCTCCCACTGGTGACAACGGAGGCACCGCTGACCCGTCGGAGAAGCAGGTCAAGCGTGACCGCATCAAGAAGATCAATGAACTCCTCAAGGTCTATGATGGATTCTCCGTGGCCTCTGACCTAGCGCAGGTCAAGTCCCTCACCGAAGAGAAGGAGCGCTTGGGCAAGGAGCTCGACGCCGAGCGCCCCTTGGAGGATCTGGTCACCTCCCTCACCACGAGGCTGCGGAACTTTCGTGCCAAGGCCAAGCGCCTTCGCGAGGAGCACGCCCAGAAGCAGCTGGTCATCGACGAGCTGGTTGCCAAGCAGACGGTGCTCCAGGACTCCCTGGCCGAGGCAGATGCCGAAGTCGTGCGGCTGGAGGTGGAGGTCCAGCGCTTGGGCGCCGACCGAGCCCCTCCGCCCACTGCTGGCAAGCCCACGCTCCATGAGCTGATGCCGAATTTCACTGTCAACGTCCAGCAGCTTGGCGAGTTGGCCGCGGAGCTCGGCTTGGACCCCAACCTTCCATGAGCTTCCCCAGGCGAAGCCGCCGGCGGCGCAGGTGCCCGCTGCTGCCCCTGCTCCCACGACCCCTGCTGGCTGGGTAGTCGAAGCCAATCTGGCGCCAATCTGGCAGGCCCAATCTGGCAAACGGGGGCAATCTGGCGAGGGAGCCAACGCGAATCCAGTCTGGCGAATAACCCAAATCCTCCGATATGGCCAGGTCAGATTGGCCCTTGGGGCCCAATCCAGTCTGACAGTCTGGCCTTCGACTACCCAGGCTGGAGAAGAAGGAGGAGTTGCTTCCACCGCCGTTCTCAGGTCCTCGCTGAGGAAGCCGCCAGGAAAGACATGGAGATCGACATCGACCTCATTGAGTCCGCCGAGCTGCGGGAGGCGTTGGAGGCGGCAGGACTCACGCAGCCTGACGAGGCCACCGACGCTGACATGCGGGTGGCGTACAGGCGTGTCCTCGACTCCTTCACGCATGCGGCTACGGCGCACAAGAGGAAGAAGAAGGCTCGATCAGCCCCTTTCTGAGGGCAGCGCCTGCTCGCCGTCGATCTGTACTCCAGTCTACGCGTCCTCACCGTGTGCGGCGCGCCCGCGAGGATGGACCTTCGCGCTGTTCTGGTGCCTATTCATGACCCAGTTCGAGGTGGGTTCTGCAGGAGCCCCCGACAGCGGTGGGAGGAACAATTCGGTGGCTGACCAGTCCGCGGGCTCACTTCGCAACTGGCGGAAAGGACCACCTCGATACCGAGCTGGCGGCAGCGACACAAGCATGCCAGAGGGTCACGATCCTTTTGTGCAGGGCCCCAGCACGGCCACGCCTGATGCTGGCGACGCGCACTGTCAAGTGGCGGCCAAGCTGGTCACGGTCAACCCTGGCTCTCACGGGCCACTTCTCAACTTCCTGCCGCACTTCCTCGGCAAGGTGGTGATGGTCCAGGAGACGCGGGTGGTCGACCAGCGGCTTGGGGCTGTTCAATCTGAGTGGTGAGTGAGTCTCAGTCTGAGTGAGTATGAGTGCGGAGAAGGATGAAGAGGGGGATGCGAGAATGAGGAATGTTCTCTCGGAGCCGTGTAAGTAATAGCAAGAACCCCATCTGAAGATATGCGGAAATAACGCACCCAGGAAAGGACACGAACAAGGCAGGGCCGTTCCGTAACCGCCCAGGTCCGTTCAGTAAACGCTCATCGGGATGGTTGCTCGTCCCTTGACCCGAGGCGCCGAGATCTCGGCGGGCACGCTGGGGATCATGATAGGGCCGAGGATCGGCTAACTCGCCATCTCTCGGACGTCCATTCCCCGTGTTTTGTTCGATTTTTAGTGTTTTTTTTTTCGCGAGATGAACCAAGATTCTCCTGGATGGACGCTCCCCCTCCTCCTCCTCCCTCCTCCCTGTCCTCCTCCCCCTCCCGTGCTGTTCAGTGCGCCCTGCTCTGTTGCGCCAAGCGCAACGTCTCGCTGCTTTCCCCGCCTGTGCCCTTACGTACCCTTCGCTGCTGCCTGGCCACCGCCGGCAAGCACGCACACATCCGCGCGATGCCACGCAAAACGACACCGGCGCGAGCTGCTGCCGAAGGCGCTCCCCGCCCGAGGCGCCGAGATCTCGGCGGGCACGCTGCCCATCCGCCTGCTGAACTTTAGCATCAGCTCCTCGTCCTGGCTCTCCCGGGGAGGCCGCCCGCCCACCCCCGCGGCGAGCGTCGTGCTCGTCGTGGCCGTCGTGACCGCTGCTGCGATCGCTGCGATCGCTGAGACAGTTACGATCGTTGCGACTGCTAACATCGTTGGGATCGCTGGGAATCCTTGTGGTCGTTACGATTGTTGCGATCGCTGTTCTTGCTGATGTCGTTGCAACCGTTGTTGTGGAACTCTCATTTCTGAACAATAATTATTGTTGATCCCCCCTCACTGGTGCACGCTGTTTTTTCTCTCAAAGTGTGCCCCTCGACGCTCGCACCCTGTTTTTTGACAGGGAAAGTCTTCGTGCTCAAACTAAGCCCCTGGCCCCCCATATTACAACAACAACAACAACGGCTCCCGCCAGAGACTTCCTTCAAATTTACTCAGGACCCCCGCTCCCGCCTCAGACCTCCTCACAATGTACTCAGGATCCGTGTTCCCGCCTGTGACGCCCTCGCAATTTAGTCAGAACCCCCGCTCCCATCTGAGACTTCCTCGCAATTTACTCAGGAACGGCGCTCCCGCTTGAGACCTCCTCGAAATTGAATCAAGATTCGTTAGCAATTTAATCCAAACCCCTGCTCCCGCCAAAGAGCCCTTTTCACACTTTATTCAGGAAGTGCGCTCTCGCCTGTGACTTCCATGCGATTTCTTCAGAAATCGCGCTTTCGACCCTCGGGAAACACGCTGCGCCAAGGACGCCGTCACAATTTACTTAGGAATCGCGCTCTCGCCATACTCATGCACCCCGTCTGAATGTCCCACCCGCCCGAACCGCCCGTCAGGGGATCGCCCGCCCGTCGCGGGCTCCCGCCCGAAACTTCCTTCAGGAACCGCGCTTTCGCCTAGGACTTCCTCGAACGTTCACGCTCTTACCTTCCTGCTCCTCCTCCCTCTCCCTCCTCCCTCCTCCCTCCTTTCCTCCCTTCTCTCTCCCTCCTCTCTTCCCTCATTATTACGCCTCTCTGCCCTATCCCCTTTCCCTCCTCTCCCTCCTCCCTTCTCCCTCCCTTCTCCTGCCTCCTCCCTCCCTCTTTCTTTGTTTGTCCTCTCTCTCTCTCACTCTCTCTCTCTCTCTTTCTGTACCTCCCTTGTCTGTTTTGTTTGTTATCTGTCTCTCTCCCTCTCTCTGCCTCTAATCAACCGTCCCCCCCTTCGCTCCTTCTCTCCTGGCGTTTTCCCGTTTCCTTCGTCCCTCCACCTCCCTTCCTCCCACTCTCCCTCGTTCTCGCCCTCCTCTTTTTGCAGGGCCCACACAAATTCCAATGGTGGGCACATGGACGCCCACGAAGGATTGTCAGCCGTTTCAGGTTTGCCCACCCGTCTAAACCCGCCGCCCCCCGCAAAGAGAAAGAATCCCCCCGAAAGGGGTGTGATCGAAGACAAAAAGGGCGGGTATCGAGGATGTGGGGAACTCGTTGTGAATCACACACGGGCAAGTAAGAACGAACAGTCTTAAAATGATTGAACTCTCACTTCGGAAGAATAATTACTGTTGGTCCCTCCACCGGTGCATAATGTTTTTTCTCAATCAAAGTGTGCCCCTCGACGCTCGCACCCGGTTGTCTGACAAAGAAAATCTTGAGGCTCAAACTGGGCCCCTGGCCCCTGGGTTGCAACAACAAAGGCTCCCGCTTGAGACTTCTTCCAAATTTACTCAGGACCCCCGCTCCCTCTCCAGGCTTCATCGCATTCTATTCCGGAATAGCGCTCTCGCTTGTGACTTCTCAAGGGGCTCTGGAGTCGCGCTCTCGCTGGAGACTTGTTTGCAATCTACTGAAGAATGGCGCCCTTGCGTTGGAATTTCCTGCAATTTACTCAAGCGCCGCGCTCCCGACACCCAGGCACCCAGGAGTCGCGGTCACGCTCAGGACTCCATCACAGATGACCCATGAACCAGGATTTCGTAGCCCTTCGTGCTCCCGTTGCAGCCCTTCGTGGCCCCCTCGCTTCGTTTCGTGGCCCCGTCGCAGCCCTTCGTGGCCCCCTCGCTGCCCTTCGTGGCCCCGTTGCAGCCCTTCGTGGCCCCCTCGCTTTGTTTCATGGCCCCGTTGCAGCCCTTCGTGGCCCCCTCGCTTTGTTTCGTGGCCCCGTCGCAGCCCTTCGTGGCCCCGTTGCAGCCCTTCGTGGCCCCCTCGCTGCCCTTCGTGGCCCCGTTACGTCCCTTCGTGGCCCCCTCGCTGCCCTTCGCGGCCCCATCTATGTATGCCCTTGGTGGTCCCCGCTCGTTCGCGCCCGTGGTGGCCCTGTATGCATGCCTTTCGTGGTCCCGCTGTCGCCCTTCGTGGCCCCCTCGCTGCCCTTCGTGGCCCCGTTGCTGCCTTCAGTGGCCCCGTCCTTGCCCTCCGCGGCCCAGTATACGTATGCCCTTCGTGGCCCCCGCTCGTTCGCGCCCGTTGTGGCCCCATGTCCGTGCCCGTCGTGGCCCCGCTGTCGCCGTTTGTGGCCCCCTCACTGTCCTACGTGGCCCAGTTGCTACGCTCAGTGGCCCCATCGTTGCCATCTGTGGCCCCGCATGATCTGCCCTTCGTGGGCCCCGCTCGTTCGCGCTCTTCGTGGCCCCATACGCAGTCCCTTCGTGTCCCCGCTGTCGCCATTCGTGGCCTACTTCGTGTCCTTGTGGCCCTGCTGTCGTTCTCTGTCGCTCTCGCTTTCGCTCGTTGTCGTCGTCGTCGTCGTGGTCGGTCCCCTGTCCGTCCCTCTTGGGGTCGGGTCGATGGTCCGCGGTCAACCTCGCCGATCAGCGCTGCCGCTGGCCAAGCCGACGGTCCGCGGCCGCCCCGCCGCTTGCAGGGGCCTGGCCTGCAGGGAAGAAAAGTATACCCCCTAAAACGGGGTTCGAGCGAAGACGAAGAGGGCGGGTATCGAGGGTTCGGGAAATACGCGTTAGGACACTCGAGCAGATAAGGGCGAACAATTTTAAAATGATTATTGTTATTGTTGAACCCTCACTTCTGAACAATAATTATTGTTGAACCCCCCTCACCGGTGCATGCTGTTTTTCTCAATCAAAATGTGCCCCTCGAGGGAAGTCTCGTGCTCAAACTGGGCCCCTGGCCCCCCGGATTACAACAACAACAACAACAACAACAACAACAACAACAACAACAATTACTAGCACGTGGGGACACTCCGTTCTCACCAGTGCCAGGGTTTTCATACGACGCCCGCCAATACCCCCACTTTGTGGGGGGGCCGGTTCAAACTCTACCACATTTCCAAACGACTCTTCGCCACCACCCACACCCAGCTTCCCGCCCTATGACGTTCGGACACTTCACTTCGTGGCATGCGGACGACCGTGGCTACTATTCAGGGCCCCGCGGCCGACGACGACGGCGTGCGCGCGCGAAGAAAAAACGAATGTGTCCCGCATGGTATTATTTGACAGGGATGATGGCCCTGGCAGGTGCGCAACCGTTGTTGCAGAAGTTCGAAAAAGTTGCTCGCAAAAGCCCGTTTGACAGAAATGTTTAAAAAGTGTTGGGTTTCCTACGAATCCGCAAGAGCGCGCGGGATGAAATTTTGACATTTTTTTTTGAAAAACCATTGTTTTTTTGATGTTTTTATGTTAAAATCGCTACGAACACTAAGGTTTTGGAAGGATTTCGTCTTGCGCGCGCGAATGTCCACTTTACCTTATTTTTTGCAAGGGATTCTTGAAGTTTGGTTATGTTAGAACAAGAAATGTCCACTTTAGCTTATTTTTTGCAAGGGAAAGCGGGGGGGAACAAAACAACCGGATCTGGACACATCGTTTTGCCTGAGACTTCCTCACGAAAATGATGAAAATGAGGCTGCGGCCTAGGCGCGGCGGGGGGGCCGCACCAGGGGTCCCAACAATAATTATTCTTTAGAATTAATAATGTTCAACAACAACAACAACAACAACAACAACAACAACAATCATTTTACCCGAACGCTCAGTGTTCTCACCAGTGCCAGGGTTTTCATGCGACGCGAGACAATACCCCCACTTCGTGGGGGGGCAGTTCAAGCTCTACCAAATATCCAAACGACTCTTCGCGACCACCCAAACCCAGCTTCCCGCCCTATGACGTTGGGACACTTCACTTCGTGGCGTGCGGACGACCGTGGCTACTACACTGGCGTGGGGTACACACCCACAGAACTTGGTCACTTATTCGGGGCGCGCGTGTGCCCAGCATCCTGCAATTGTGACATACAATACATGACACAGACAGACAGAGAGAGAGACAGAGAGCAGACAGAGAGAGAGACAGAGAGAGCGGAGTTGGTCACATTTTTGGGGCAAGTTCCTGAGATCGTCGTGTTTTTTGTTGGTCTTGCGCGCGCGAATGTCCACTTTACTTTTTTTTGCAAGGGAGTATTGAAATTTGATTATGTTAGAACAAGAAAAAGTAGCTCGCGCGAGCTCATGTAACATAAATGTTGAAAAACCATTGGTTTTGTGGGAGTCGGACAGCGCGCGCGGGATGAAATTTGGACATTTTTTTTGAAAAACCATTGGGTTTTTGATGTTTTTATGTTGAAATCGTTACGAAACCTAAGGTTCTGGAAGGATTTCGTCTTGCGCGCGCGAATGTCCACTTTACCTTATTTTTTGCAAGGGATTATTGAAATTTGATTATGTTAGAACAAGAAAAAGTAGCTCGCGCGAGCTCATGTAACATAAATGTTGAAAAACCATTGGTTTTGTGGGATTCGGACAGCGCGCGCGGAAGGACATTTTGACAATTTTTTCTTAAAAAACCATTGGGTTTTTGATGTTTTTATGTTAAAATCGCTACGAAACCTAAGGTTTTGGAAGGATTTCGTCTTGCGCGCACGAATGTCCACTTTACCTTATTTTTTGCAAGGGATTCTTGCAATTTGATCAAGTAAGAACAAGAATTTTCATTTTCTATTGTTTTTTGCAAGGGAAAACGAGCGTCAACAAAAAACCGGATCCGGAGCTCATCCACTTTTCTGAAGCTTTCGCGAAAAAATGATGA